AAAGCTGGAAGTGGCGCTGTGGCTCAAGTGGTAGAGCGCTAGCCTTGAGCTGAAGAGCTGAGGGACAGTGCCCAGGCCCAGAGTTCAGGCCCCATAACCGGACCCCCCCCCCAAAAAAAAATCCCAGTATACATCCCCTGGAGCTCAACCATGTAAAGGCTGGCACAGTGCTTTTGGGTCTCAAGACGGGGGTTGGGGGTGGGGAGCAGCATTAACTTCAGTAATCCTAGCACTAGGCAGGCACACTTGTGAGCTGTGTCCCAGCTTTCAATATGCTTTGTGTTAAGTTTACCTCTCTACATTGTCACTCTTCCATTTTAAAGATATATTTACGTGCTTATATTGGAGAAGACTTGGAGAAAATGAAAGTGTAAAAAAAGACATAAATTGTCCATACTTGGTAGGAATATAATTAGAACTATCTTGTGTGTGTGTGTGTGTGTGCACTAGTGCCAGCCTGAACTAAGGGCCTTGATCCTGTCCCTGAGCTCTTTTGTTCAAGACTAGTGCTATATTGCTTGAGCCACAGCTTCACTTCCAGCTTTTTGCTCATTATTTGGGGGTAAGTCTCATGAACTTTCTTGCCCAGGTTAGCTTGGCACCTCAGTTCTGAGTTCTAAGCCTCTCGAGTAGCTAGGATTTTAGGCATGAGCCACTGGTACCTGGCTCGACTATATATATACCTTGATGGCTTTTCTTCCAGTCTTAATTACTTTCCCTGTGTAGGGATGGAATCAGGGCCTTCTGCATGCTAACCCAGAGCTCTGCTGCTGAACCCCTGCAGCCGTCAGGGCTTTGTGCCTTCCTGTGACCTGTCGTGGCGCCCCCTTTTCTCACTGAGCTGGCAGGTGAGGGGTAAGGGCACATACTCTTTTTTTCAGCATAAACACCATCCTGGAGTTCTTGCCAAAGCAGAGGAGAACAGGCCTTTTCTCCGCCACACAGACGCAGGAGGTGGAGAACTTGGTGCGTGCTGGCCTGCGGAACCCTGTCCGCATCTCGGTGAAGGAGAAGGGTGTGGCGGCCAGTAGTACCCGGAAGACACCCTCCCGCCTGGAGAACTTCTACATGGTGAGAGGGCCCTGGGGACAAGGGACATGGGGTGGTGTGGGACAGGTGCTCTGAAGGCATGGCCTGCTTGTTGATGAGTGACTTAAGTGAGTTTAAGCACAGTGTCCAGGTGACCATGCCTGGGTGTTGAGTGTCAATGAGGTGGGGCGCAGAGGAGGCTTGGGAGTGGGCTGTTCTGCTCCAACATGTGGGTTCTTGTGTCTGGCCGCATCTGGGTGAGTATGGTGGACTTAAAGCTGCCCTTCTGAAGCTTCTGGCTGGGGCGGGTCACAAGGTGGTTCATAGCTCAGGCCCCCCAGGAGGCAGCATGGCTGAAAGTGGCAGGGAGGGCGGGAAGGCAGAGGGAGAGGGAAGGAGGAGGACGGGACAGGACAGCAGTGCCGTAACTGTGAGGCATATACCTAACCATTGTTGCTCTGGTGAGGTGATTTTTTTTTTTTTTTTTGGTCGTTGGGTTTGAACTCTGGACCTGGGCGCTGTCCCTCAGCTCTTCAGCCCAATGCGAGTGCTCTACCACTTGAGCCATAGTGCCATTTCTGGTTTTCTGGTGGTTAATTGGAGATAAGAGTCTCACAGAAGTGACGCTATGGTAGAGTGCTCACCTTGAGCTGAAGAGCTCAGGAACAGCGCCCAGGCCCACACTTCAAGCCCATGACAGACCAAAAACAAAATAAAGTCTCATGGACTTTCCTGCCTGGACTGGCTTTGAACTGGGATCTCAGCCTCCTGAGTAGCTAGGATTATAGGCATGAGCCATCAGTGCCTGGCCACTTTGGTGATTTTTTTCACATAGAGTGTGGGGGTTAGCCTGGGCTAACCTGGACTGCAGTCCTTCTGTCTAAATTCCATAGAGTTGCTATTCTAGCAGATGTGATTGGTTGCGATAGGGTCTCATTACCTTGCTTAGGTTGGCCTCAAACTACAGTGCTTCTGAGCTCTTGTTTCCTTTGTAGCTGGGATTACAGGTATGAGCCTCTGCATCTGGCATTATTTTTAAACTATGTCTTTTTTTTTTATTGTGAAAATACCGCACAGAGCGGTTACAATTATATGGGCAAACTATGTCCTCTTTTTTGTAGGTATGTAAGGCAGATGAAAAATTCAATCAGCTGGTGCATTTTCTTCGAAACCATAAGCAGGAGAAACATCTGGTCTTCTTCAGGTGACTCTCAGTGCTAGTTAGGGGAGGCAGGGGATGAGTCACCCTCCTAAGTTCCCAGAGGCCTTGTTCTGAGCTCCTTCTAGGATAGTTCTCTGAGGATGCTCATTCTGGCACAGGCCAGCGGGCTGATTGTTCCACCTTATGGCTGTGACCCGTCCTATCTCCCTCAGCACCTGCGCCTGCGTGGAGTACTATGGGAAGGCTCTGGAGGTGCTGGTGAGCGGTGTGCGGGTCCTGTGTATTCATGGCAAGATGAAGCACAAGCGTAACAAGATCTTCCTGGACTTCCGCAAGCTGCACAGGTGGGCGGGCCTCGATGGCAGGGGCAGATTGTAGCTACACTACTCTGTCAGGTGCCCATGGCTGCGCCCCTTTCCCTGAAGCTACCATGTGTTCTCTAGTGATGCCCAGAGCCCCTGCCTCAGCCTCAAGAACTCATTGCTCAGTCACTGCAGTCCAGTGTGCATCCGCACGGCAGGGTCCTGGCACATGGGGCGCACTGGATCTCCAGTGCCGGTCAGCTCAGGGGAGGCTTTGGAAACAAGCCCCGATACAGCAGAGGGAGCACGTGGTCTTGTTTAGGTGGAGATTACACAGACTGCGGACAGTGTTTTCTTCTAGCTGTCTCTGTTCAAGCATATAGGCTGTCATTTTGTTTTTCTTTTTGTTCTGATACTGGGTTTAAACTGAAGGCCTAGAGCTATCACTCAGGTTTTTCTACTCATGGCTAGTGCTCTACTACTAGAACCATACCACCTGTTCTTGCTTTGTGCTGGTTAATGGAGATAAGGCTGGTGTAAACCCAGATCCTTAGATCTCAGCCTTCAGTGTAGCTGGGATTCTAGGTGTGAGCCACCATGCCTGGCCTTGTTTGAATCACTGTACAGCTACATTAAAGTCCTTGTGAATGGGAAGCGACACACTTGGCTGTAGTTCCTGTCACCGAAAGAGTCCCTTGTTTCTGTCTGCTAATGGTCAGGCCCGCCACAGGTTAGTTTTACTTTTCAAGTAGAAATACAGTAAAATACAGTAATTTAAAAAGCCTCAAGTTAGGCATGGTAATTCATACCTGTAATCCCAGCACTCAGGAGTCCAGGCCGGAGGATTGAGCTGTAGGCCAGCCTGAGTACCTAGTGACACCCTCTGTCAAAAACTTTTTACTGTCTCCCCCTTTCCTTACTTTCACTGGGACTTTGTAGAGTCCTGGAACTTCTTAGGAGGAAGGAGTGAACAAATCAAAATGCTCCTGTCAGCAAGTTTTTGGTTCTGTGAGAAGTGGGAGCTGCCAGCACTGAGGGGCGGTGGGCTGGTGGCACTGGAGACAGCCAGCGTCCAATGCTACCTTCTCTCCTAGTGGGATTTTGGTCTGCACAGATGTGATGGCGCGGGGCATCGACATTCCCGAAGTCCACTGGGTCCTGCAGTACGACCCTCCCAGCAGCGCCAGGTACCCTGGCAGGGTTTTGGCCTGTCCAAGCAGGAATCTGGGGGTGGGGGATTGAAACATATGACATTCAAAACTTCTTTTTGGTTAGTTGTGGAACTTGGCCTGGGTGCTGTCCCTGTGCTTTAGAACTCAAGGCCAGCACTCTAACATTTTGAGCCATCACCACTTGGGGTTTTCTAGTGGTTAATTGGAGATAGGAGTCTCACAGACTTTCCTGCCCGGTATGGCTTTGAACCGGGATCCTCAGATTCTCAGATCCTAGAGCTCAGATCTTATTTTAATCAATAACGTTTGGTGTTAACAGTGGCATCATTTAGCAGCTAGAGTTTTTTTTTGGGTGGGGGAGGGGTCGGTCATGGGGCTTGAACTCTGGTCTTGGGCATTGTCCCTCAGCTCTTCAGCTCTAGGCGAGTGCTCTACTGCTTGAGCCACAATGCCACTTCCCGTTTTCTAGTGGTTTATTGGAGATAAGAGTCTCACGGACTTTTCCTTGCCCGAGCTGGCTTTGAACCCTGATCCTCCGATCTCAGCCTCCTGAGTAGCTAGGATTACAGGCGTGAGCCACCGGTGCCCGGCTTTGAAGATATTTTTTTTTTTTTTTTTGTCGGCGGTGGGGCTTGAACTCTGGGCCTGGGCGCTGTCCCTCAGCTCTTCAGCTCAAGGCAAGCGCTCTACCACTTGAGCTACAGCGCCACTTCCGGTTTTCTAGTGGTTTATTGGAGATAGGAGTCTCACGGTTTCTCCTGCCCGGGCTGGCTTTGAACCACGATCCTCAAATCTCAGCCTCCTGAGTAGCTAGGATTACAGGCGTGAGCCACCAGCGCCCGGCCTTTGAAGATATTTTTAAATCCTGAAAGTTATCACAGAAATGCATGATAGTAAAAATGATAAAAAGCTGTGAAACACCATAAATGACATTGTGACTACTGTCCCAGAAAGTAAGCATAGATTGCTAATGCGTGGGAATGTACCTGAGTCTGGAGTGGGCCTCTGCTCATGGTCACCCTGGGTGTGGGCTCCCTGTGTTCTCACAGTGCCTTTGTGCACCGCTGCGGCCGCACAGCGCGCATCGGCCACGGCGGCAGTGCCCTGGTGTTCCTGCTGCCCATGGAAGAGTCGTACACCAACTTCCTTGCCATCAACCAGAAGGTGAGCCACCTTTTCATGCAGAACATAGGGTGGCAGGGCAAATTCCTCCCTGGCTCAAGGTTGGAGCCTTAGGTGAGGGGCATACCCTCACCCCTCCTGCAGGCCCGGGCCCGCCCACCACGCAGGAATGTGGTCCCTGTGTTGCCTTTCTGGCTTAGCAGATCACATGGCCACGAGAAATCCCATTTGTAAACTTTTGCACTGAGGACTGAGCTTGGGCCAGGTGTGGGCTGTGGGTGTTAGGATGATGGTTCTTCCTGGCTGTGCTGGGAGCCTGAGGCTGCTCTGTGTGTAGTGCCCCCTGCAGGAGATGAGTGTGCAGAAGAACGTGGCCAACGTGCTTCCAGACCTCAAGGCCATGGCCCTGGCTGACAGAGCTGTGTTTGAAAAGGGCATGAGAGCCTTCGTGTCCCACGTCCAGGCCTACGCCAAACACGAGTGCAACCTCATCTTCAGGCTAAAGGGTGAGTTCCATTTCTTTGTAATTGTGTGTGTTCGTCTGCATGCCGATGGTTCTGAAGGGGTAAAATTGCTTTGTCTTAGTAAAATGTGTGGTGTATTAGGATTCATACTTTCTAAGATTTTGGGTAGCACTTTACCACTTGAGCCACACAGCACCATACATACTTTGTGTATGTGGTACTGAGGAATGGAACCCAGAACTTCATGTACTCTAGGCAAGCACTCTACCACTAAGCCACATGTGCCCCAGCCCCCTTTCTTAACATTTTAAAGGGAGTCTTCTTTCTAGGCTTTGAGTAGACATGAATAAATTGGCCATTGGCTTCAAAGTATCTTTTTACTTTGAAGAAATGTGTTTTTTAGGAATTCTAACTAGGAAGTGGCACTGTGTGGCTCAAGTGGTAGAGTACTGCCTTGAGCTGAAGAGCTGAGGGACAGCACCCAGGCCCAGAGTTCAGGCCCAAGGACCAAAAAAAAAAAGATTTTAAATGAATCTTATTTACTCTATGAATGTCACAGACTGTGGTAATAATCCGTGGTGTTTTATTTCCTTAGATCTTGACTTTGCCAGCCTTGCCCGAGGTTTTGCCTTGCTCAAGATGCCCAAGATGCCAGAACTGAGGGGAAAGCAGTTTCCAGAGTTTGTGCCTGTGGACATTAATACAGACACAATTCCATTTAAAGATAAAATTAGAGAAAAACAAAGACAGAAACTATTGGAGCAACAAAAAAAGGAGAAAGCAGAAAATGAGGGGAAACGAAAATTCATAAAAAACAAAGCATGGTCCAAACAGAAAGCCAAAAAGGAAAGGAAGAAAAAGATGAGTGCAAAAAGGAAGAAGGAAGAGGTAGTGTTTGCAGTTTATTGCTTAAATTTTATCTCAGAGTTCTGAGCAGTTTTTACTGTCTTTTTTTTTTTTTTGGTCTGGTCCTGACGTTTGAACTCAAGGCCTGGGCACCGTCTATGAGCTGCTTTTGCTTGAGGCTGGTGCTCTACCACTTGAGCCACAATGCCATTTCCGGCTTTTTCTGAGTAGTTTATTGGAGATAAAGAGTATAGACTTCCCTGCTGGGGCTGACTTTAAACCAGGATCTTCAGATCTTAGCCTCCTGAGTAGCTAGGATTTCAGGAGAGAGCCACCGGCACCTGCCTTGTAAGCATCTTTTGAAAGGCATTGTGGAACAGGCATGGTACACTCCTATAATCTGAGCACTTGAGAAGCCTTGAGGCCAGCCTGGTTTATACAGTGAGACCCTGTATCAAAAGCAAAAGGAAAGACAGCTGAAGATTTATTTTTTTGGTAGTCATAGGGCTTGAACTCTGGGCCTGGGTGCTATCCCTCAGCTCTTCAGCTCAAAGTGAGTGCTCTATCACTTGAGCCGCAGTGTCACTTCCAGTTTTCTTTGGTTAACTGGAGATAAGAGTCTCACAGACTTTTTCTGCCTGTTCTGGCTATGAACTGTGATCCTCAGATCTCAGCCTCCTGAGTAGCTAGGCTTATAGGCGTGAGCCACGGCACCCGGCTAGCTGCAGATTTTTATACTGGTCCTGGTACCTGGAGTGGAGAACATTGCAGTCTGAGGGCAGACCTGGAACGCGGTGTTCCTGTTTAAACTACCACAGTGAGTAGGGGCTGGGAAGGTAGCTCAGCGGTAGAATGCATACCTTGCAAGCATGAGGCCCTGGGTTCGATTCCTCAGCACTACATAAACAGAAAAAGCCGAAGTGGCACTGTGGCTCCAGTGGTAGAGTGCTAGCCTTGAGCTGAAGAGCTGAGGGACAGTGCCCAGACCCAGAGTTCAGGCCACATGACCGGCAAAAAAAAAAAAAAAAAACTACCACAGTGTGGCTGGGAAGTTCTAGTAATCTCCTGCTTTCTTCTGCACACAGGGCTCTGACATTGAAGATGAGGACATGGAGGAACTTCTTAATGACACAAGGCTCTTGAAAAAGTTAAAAAAAGGCAAAATCACTGAAGAAGAATTTGAGAAGGAGTTGCTGATAAGCAGCAAAAGAACAATGAAGACCGCAGATTTAGGTGTCTCTGACTTGGAAGATGAATGCTGACTGCAGAGCCCCAGCTGGCTGCCTGCTGGGTACCTCTTCTTTGTCCCACCACATGTAGATCAGGTCAGGGACCCCCAAGGGGAAACAGGCCCTGCTCTGTTGTGACACTGCTAAGACTGTCCTGAAGTGCTTGGTGCACACATAGCCGCTGGTGTCTTATTCTGATCGGCCCACTAGTCTTCTGAGAGTATTTTATTTATTTTAAATGTAAAGGTATTGACATGTACCTGGCTTTGGCATTTTAAAGTTCTAAGGAGTTCTAGGAACCTGCCCTTCTTCGCATCTTCATCTGTGTTCCCATCTCCTGGGCTACCTTTGTATTTGCTACCCCAAATGGAGTACAGTTGGCTGATGTACTGGCATGAGACCAGGCTGGCCCCAAGTACTGCCCTCCTGCCTCTGCCTCTGTGTTGAAGTTAGGATTACAGGAGTACACTGCCATGTCCAGCCCTCATATTATTAGCAACAGCTGAGAACCAGAAGGTACACTGTGGAGTCTGAAGGTACAGGAGGAGTCTGAGCCTTTTCGTCCAGCTTACCTGTGCAGCTGTGTGCTCCCTTCAGAGCCAGTGTCTGGCCTGAGGTCCACTTTCAGCACCGATGCGATATGGCTTCAAAACTCATAATTTATTTGAAAAGATGTTGAATTTGTCACCAAGTAAAATTTTAAAAAGTCCGTTTGGAACTTAAACAAATATGGGGAAGATTGGTAAGTGCTGCACAGGGCTGCTCCGCCGCTGCCTGTGTTCTCAGTACTGCTCAGCATGAAGCCTATTGCTGCCCCTGCTGGCCACAGGCAAAGGCAGTGAGTACAGCAAGGTGCATGGTGTCCCTTAGTGCCGGGTGTGGCGTAGTCAGAACCCTGCTTCACTCACTGAACAAAATCTCCAGTCAGATAGCACTCAGGAGCAGAGGGAGGCGGATGCCATGTCTCCAATAAATGCCATGCCCTTACACAATGTGCATTCCTGGAAACAAAGCGAGCAAGTTCTGGAAAACCAGATGCACATTTTGGTTTGCTTTTAAACCTAGATGAGTGAAGAGATTCTCCAGGACTTGGGATTTCAATTCTTAGTCCATGAAGCTTTCAAGTACAATTCTGTCTTGGCCTGGCTGGCCCCTTGATGTGGCACTGAAGGGGACCCCGGTGGTTACAGGTAGAGCTTGATGAGCTCGTCACTGACCGCAGAGGGGGTCAGCACGCCCAGGTCCGTGAAGAGCAGGGTGATGAGGGAAGGGGATGTGTAGTCTACCCACGGGTGCTCCTCCTTCAGGTCCTGCCCATCCTGTACAGACTTGAGAGTAGCCGCCTTGTACTGTGAGGGAAAGCAGTGTTAGGGGCTCACTCTGCTCAGGTGGGCATAGCCTGAGTGCTGAGTACTACTGGCCTGGGCTATGCAGCTCACTGGCTACCAAGCCCCTCCTCTCATGTGCTGGGCCAACTCCTCCAGGCCTCCAGTGAGTGAGCTGTTTATGCAGTGGCAAATGCCAGCTACTGACTAAGCCCACCTGCCTGTTCAGAGGTGCCGGCACAGGACTTGTCCGAAGCCACATGGACCATCAATGACCAAACTAGGACCCAACCCCTGGCCTCCCTACCTCAGTAGGAGCAGAGAAGTCTGAGGACAAAGATGAGTATAAGGCCAACGAGGTCATTTCTACTCCCATGGTGGGGAGTGAGTGACTTCCTAGAACATCAGTCTTGCAGGTGGGATTGATGCAGGACTCATATATGTAAAACTTGCCTTAAACTTATCCGGGACATCTTGCTGGTTTAACGGGAAGAGCCGCACAAACTTGAAACTTTCCGCAACCACATAAAAGGGCTTGTTCTGTGCTTTGGCGCATACAGCCATCTGGTTGGTTCCAATCTGAGAAGTAAAACAATAGAAGGAACTCAATGTAATCTGGCTTTGGGATCAAAGAGCACCACTTCAAAACAAAAACAACCTACAAATGCCTGTGTGAGGATATGTACATAAATGGCCTCCATGTGAAAAGATTCTCAGTGCTTTATATGCCTTAACCACAACTTAAAAATTGTTTGTTGGTAAAGTTTCTCTAAGGAGTGACTGGAAAAGTTGTAATGAAATATAGTGTAATAACAATACTGAGGTTGAATATGCTGGATTAAAATGAAGAAAAAAATGACAAGCCAATTCTAATTAAAACTTACATAAATTACATTGACTTAATTTGTATGTGCCAATCTGCAAAGAAGGAACTATGACCACAATCTGACCCCTGCACCTGCTTGTAGGAATCTGGTTCCATAGCTAAGGCAGCTGGGGAGGCGGAGAGAACGCGGCCTGCTGGCGCTCGAGGCCAGCAGTGTATCCATCTTAGCAACCCACTCCAAGAGGCGGTGCTCCTACCTTATTAATTATTCCTCCGTTTTCAACGACCCCTTCTGCACCGACTATGACTAGATCTGCTTTCTCCATGATGTAGCTGAGGGGGACAAAAAGAAAGCTATTTGTTCTTGGCTGCTGAAAAAATCAGATGATAACCGTGTGCTGCAGGTCTTCCCCTGAATACTTTTTCACGGAAAGATAATTCACACGTGGTGACTGACCACAGCAATGTTACAGGCATGAAGACCCAGCCTTTGCATCTTGCTCTTGAAACATAGGCGTGGGGCTAAGGACACACCCTCCCTCTCTGTGCACCCCAGGTTCTCAGGATAGCTTGCTCCAGTTGGGCAGCTATTAAGTGGTGGGACGCCACTCAGTGTGCTTTATCAACAGAATTCAAACCTTCAATCTGAAAAGCCTGCCAGGAGTGAGCCCCAGGGGTGGACGGGGATGGGCAAGGAGAGGTGCTTACCCCACAGCGGCATCCAGCACCACGGTAACAGGGACGTTGAGGTGGCAGAGGGCTTTGGCCATTTTCTTACTGAAGATGACATTACAGAATATTAGGAAAAGTCCAGAAAAGTGATGCAAGGAGAGTCACCCAGTTCAAAACGTTTGACTGGCTTCCCATCAGTATGACACCTGCTGTCATACTGCCCCCAGGGCCTGGCCCAGCCCTGTGCAGACACCCTGGCAGTCAGGCCAGTGTGGGTGCTATGCATTCTGTTTGCTTTCCACATGACGGAGCATGGAACCCAGTGGAGAGATACTTGCCCAGATAGGTCGGGCTGTGACTCTGTAATGTACACACTGAATCGCTTCTTGGCAGCCACAGCTGCTTCCAGCACCCGCAGGACCACTCTGGAGTAGGCATGCGTCAGTATTCTCTGTGGACAAGAAAGCTCCGTCAAAGGCTAGGCCCTGTGTGCAGCCAAGCCACCAGCCTTGCTGGGAAACAGGCTGCTGGCACGTGAAGTTTCTGGGCAGGCTTTCTCACAAATGCACAATAGCCAGGAAGGAGAACTCCATTGGACCTGAAGGTCGAGCCCACTCACAAGCCAAAGGAGCTTTTGTGTCCCTGGTGGAGCGGCACACAGTTACAAGGCAACAGCCTTTGGATGAGGCAAGGGCACTTTGCCTGTCCACACGCACCAGGCAGGTCCTGGGAACAAATGCAGTTGGCCAGTGGCACAGCACAGGTAAAGGGGACAAGTCCCCGTGGTGCCTGCTGCTCTCACCTGCTCACCTCTATTGCCAGAGCATCTAGTTTTCCTATAAGATGTGAAATCTGCAATGTCTTTTTTGTTTTTTGGGTTGGTCATGGGGCTTGAACTCGGCTTGGGCGCTGTCCCAGTGCTCTTCAGCTCAAGGCGAGCGCTCTACCACTTGAGCCACAGCCCAACTTCCAGTTCTCTAGTGGTTTATTAGAGATCTCACGGAGTTTCCTGCCCAGGCTGGCTTTGAACCATGATCCTCAGATCTCAGCCTCCTGAGTAGCTAGGATGACAGGCGTGAGCCACTGGCGCCCGGCTTGGTATGTCTTTTTAAATATATAGGCTCCAAAACTACAAGCCCATCTGTGGTCAGATGATAATTTGTGAACGCCCACACATGATCTCTACAGAACAGCTCAGGAGACTAACAGCATGGTGGCTGCCCTCCCTACTGTCAGGCTGCACTACTACTTTTTGTTGGAAATCCAGGTTCTTGGGGCCTACCCACACTAACAAAAACAGTCCACTTTTTTTGTAGGAAATGCAGGTGTTCAGAGCTACCTGTACCAACTGAAACTGTGTGCCAAGCCCCCACATGATTCAGTGCAGCTGCCAAAATCTGCATGGCGCTGGCGGTGGTGAGGCTGCAGGGAGAGGCTCCTGGGCCTGGCCACCACCTGGTCCCTAAGACTTTGTTTGCCACTGGATCTGTACAAGTTCTACTAGTGCCCTGTCAGTCACTTTTTTTGGGGGTCGGTCGTGGGGCTTGAACTCTGGGTCTGGGTGCTGTCCCTGAGTTCTTCAGCTCAAGACTAGTGCTCTACCACTTGGGCCACAGCACTACTTCTGGTTTTCTGAAGGTGGTTTATTGGAGAGAAGAGTCTCAGAGTTTCCTGCCCAGGCTGGCTTTGAACCATGATTCTCAGATTTCAACTTCCTCAATAGCTAGGATGACAGGCGTGAGTCACTGGCGCCTGGCTAGTCACTGGTTTTAACAACATACTTCAAAGGTTGTAAAAAGGCAATGGAACAGGATAAGATTTAAGAGTCAAGGGTTATTATGTTTTATAGACAGTGAAGGCTGGGGCAGAAGTGTCACCACCCACTGCTGGGGACTGGCTTGACCTGCAATGCCTGTCTTCCTGCAACTCGTGAACAGTGGGCAGCTTTGTGTAGTGGCAGAAGCCATGTTTGAGAGTTAAGTCTCCACTGTCCACTGCCAGCAGACGACTGGTATTAATCTGTCACAGGAGCTGCTCTGTGGATGGAGTTCAGGATAACATACTGCACATTCACACGAAGATTTCTTTGGAAAAACAACTTACTCAGTCCAGAATCATTCATGCCATCCTAGTATTTTCCTGTGCTTATTTACAATGGTAAGTATCTCTTATGCCTCCGTTACAGAGCACGACTTCTCTACAAGCCACCCCATGTCATCACAACAGTCTAGTAGGTAAGTACTATTACTGCCTTTAGCAGAAGCTAAATAACTCGTCCAAGATTCCCCAGCAGATAAATGGCAGAGCTGAGATTTTGCCCTTGCTGCTAAGTGCCACATATTAGAGATATTTACTCACCGCTCCATCTTTGATGAAAGTATGGCATAGATCTGCAATTTTACTTCTCGACAGTGATATTCTCCTGAGAAAAAGCTCTCCCCGTTCAATCATGATCTTTTTACATTTGGAATAATCCTAGAAAGGAAACAGCAAAGCTGAGACTATGTGGGGACAGGCAGAGCAGCAGAGTGGGGGGAGGTAGCTGAGGGAGGGCAGGGCTTACAGAGTACTCCAGGGAGGTAAGGCTGATGAAGCGAAGGAAGAGCTCCCCACCAGAGGACACTGCCACCGAGGAGTCCACCCCACACAGGGTTTCTATGGCACTGGTGAGATTCGCTCTCAGGCCCTGGATTGTCTCCCCTGGAACGATGGAAGGATTCATGTGATGGTCATCTCAATGTCACGTGATTCCCACTTCCCCCCAGTAATCAATCTGAACAGAAAAGTTCTTGATACTCCATCTCCAAAATAAACAGATAAAAGCAGGGCTAAAGGTTTGACTCAAGTGATAGAGCACCTGCCTACTGTGAGATCTTGAAACCACAGTACTACCAAAATAAAAGAAGGAAAGAGAGGCCAACAGGTTTGAATCTTGTTTCAGTAAGGGACAGCATGGAAGGTAATGAAGTACTGGTAGCAAGACAGTGTAGGAGAGCCAAGTTCTTGGAAGATACTGGAGACCCATGCCCTTAGACCTCTAAGCAAGCATTATTACTATTATCACTGTAGGAGAGGTCATGCTATATCTGGATGTTGACATTTAGAATGAAAAGTTAGAGACAGCACAATGACTGGTATGAACGCCAGAATTTATTATGGAACATTCTCAATAGCATCTGAGCAGAATAGGGGATAAAGTAGACATTCAATACATGTCTATAAAGTTGAACTGCTTTAATTTCAGCTTCATGTGAATACAAGGATCACTCAATTCACAGTCTATCTCTCAATTCACAGTCTATTTCAGTCAGTTATGACGGAAGTTTTTCTGGGGTACTAGGGACTGAAACCAGGGTCTCACTCACATGCTAAGCAAGTGTTTGACCTCTTATGCACACCCTTATCCTAAAGGAAACCTTTTCTGTCAGTCATGGGGCTTGAACTCAGGGCCTAGGTACTTCCCCTGAGCTCTTTGCTCAAAGCTAGCACTCTACCACTTTGAGTCACCCCTCCCCTTCTGTTTTTGAGTGGTTAATTGAAGATAAGACTTTCACAGGGACTTCTCTGCCTGGGCTGGCTTTGAATGGCCATCCTTAAATCTCAGCCTCCAGAATAGCTAGGATTACAGGTGTGGACCACCAACACCCTATTTAAAGGGAATCTTTTTGATGATAGCTTGAGGGCCCCTTCCAGGTTGAAAGGCCTGAAATAAAAGGCTGAAGCTGATCTTGAGGCTGTAGACAAATCTGCAGCTATCACATCACATTTTTTTTTTCTGGCTGGTCATGGGGCTTGAACTCTAGGCCTGGGCGCTGTCCCTCAGATCTTCAGCTCAAGGCTAGCACTCCACCACTTGAACCACAGTGCCACTTCCAGCCTTTTCTGTTTATGTGGTGCTGAGGAATTGAACCCAGAACCTCACGCGTGAGAGGCAAGCACTCAACCACTGAGCCACCTTCCCAGCCCCACATTTTTAATTATTAGAAGACTTTCCTAAGGCTCCCAGCTGCTCGGGGGTGACCCTTTGTACCTTTGTCTCTCTTCAGGAACTCCAGTAAAGTCTGGATGGCAGCCACTGCTGAAGCCATGTCAGGGTCTTCTTTCATCTGAGACTTAAAGTATTCAATTAATTCTGGGAGGGAAAGAAAAAGTTATTCATTACATTCACTCAGCAATTCTCCAGCACCAGGTCAATCTATGCTAATTCAAGTCCAGCCACATACAAATAATATGTAGCGTTTTACAACCTCAGTGCATTTTTCTTACATTAATAAAACACATAGGGCTGGGAATGTGGCTTAGTGGTAGGGTTCTTGCCTAGCATACATAAAAACCTGGGTTCGATTCCTCAGTACCACATACACAGAAAAAGACGAAGTGACACTGTGGTTCAAGTGTTAGAGTGCTAGCCTGGAGCAAAAGAAGCTCAGGGACAGTGCCCAGGCTCCAAGTTCAAACCCTAGGACTGGAACAAAACAAAAACACTTAGGGGTGAACAAGGGGAAAGAGGAAGAGGGAGCGAGGAGTGTGTGTGTCCTCCAGTGGGTTATCCCCAGGAAGCAGAAGCAGCGAGGGGGGTTCAGTAGCAACTGGAAGAAGTGAGTCCCGCCGAGCAGCCAGTGTGGGCATGTAAGGTCGAGGTGGCCTGGTTCTGCTTTGTTCTCAGCGAGAGCCCCGGTCCGTCCCGCTTACCCTTCTGGTCCATGATGACCCCCGGGCCGCGGGAACCGACGCGAGGGCAGCCGTCAGCTCGCCTGCTGGAGATGCCGACAAACGCGCCGGCAGCCAGCCACACACTGAGGGCGCCAGGCGCACCGCCCGCGTCACTTCCGGCTTCCTGGGGGCGGGGCCACGAGAACTGGCCGGGGGCGATCCGCCTAGACGTCACTCTTGCGCGCCGGAAGTCAGGCTTTGCGCTCTCCTAGACGCTAGCTGCACCATTGCCAGCTGGTCCCCGGGCGTCGCTGCACCATGGTCTCCGAAGGTGAGGGCAGCTGCGGGCGGGACGCCGCGGCCCGGCCGAAGGGAGTGTGTCTCTGGGCTGGGTGGGACCTGCTGGCGGCGTAGCCCTGTGTCTCATTCATTCAGTGACTTTCTGGGTCGCCTCCCGCGTGTCGGGGAGCGCGGCCGGGGCCGGGACGCGGGAGGCTGGTGGAGAAACGATCCCGGGGCCAGAGGCGTGAGCACGGAAGACCCATTACGAAGGGGTTGGAGGGCGAGGCCAGGACGGTGTGCCACCAGGGTCGGGAGGACCTACTTTTCGTTAGAAGGAAAGGGCGAGATGGAAGGAAGACTTGATTACCAACTTCGGAGAGAAGTGCATTTTATTTATTTTCCAAATTTTTTATTGTGATTAAGTGGTTACATAATTTCCCAGTATTGTGGGATAGTGATGCTCAGTTAAAGCCACAAACACATTCTAACTCTCATGGGGCAAATTGTCTAACATGGTCTATAACACTGAGAGTGCATTGCAAAGAAAGGCCCTGGGGCAGGCCGAGATACCCGGTTACACTTGAGAGAAACCGGGAGGTGAGGAGTTTTGTGTTCATGAATCAAACTACTGGTTATAGAGCTTTGAGGTCTTTGGAGAAAGAAGTGAGGGTTGAGCCGTACTTGTAAGCGTGTCATAAAGCTGGTGTAGGGTTTTTGGGTGTGAGTATGTGTGTTTCTTTCTTTTTTGTGTGTATGTGTCGGTCGTAGGGTTTGAACTCTGGGCCTGGGCGCTGTTCCTCAGCTCTTCAGTTCAAGGCTAGCACTCTACCACGTGAGCTAAAGCGCCACTTCCGGTTTTCTGGTGGTTTATTGGAGTAAAGAGTTTCACGGACTTTCCTGCCCGGGCTGGCTTTGAACCCTGATCCTCAGATCTCAGCCTCCTGAGTAGCTAGGATTACAGGCGTGAGCCACCAGCGCCGGGCAGTGTGTTTCATTTGAGACAGGATCTCAGAGATTGGAACTCTTATTCTCCTATCTCAGCCTCCTCCCCAGTTGCTGAGATGACTGACCTGGCTGGTGTAGGGTTATCACAGCAAATTTTTTGGGGGGGAGGGGGTCTGGTCTGGGCCTGGGCGCTGTCCCTCAGCTCTTCAGCTCAAGGCTAGCGCTCTACCACTTGAGCCACATCACCACTTCTGGCTTTTTTCTTTTTTCTTATGTGGTGCTGAGGAATCGAACCCAGGGCCTCATGCATGCAAGGCAAGCGCTCTACCACTGAGACACCTTCCCAGCCCCATCACAGCAGAATTTTATAGTAATTCCTTTTTTCCCTTTTGGTTGCGCTCTGTCTGTCTCTCCCTCCCCCACCTCCCTCCCTCCCTTTATTCCTCTCTTTGTCCCTCTCCCCCTTTGTCCCCCCTCCCCCATTCCCTTCTCTTTTCCTGCCTCTGACCATAATCCTTTTACCCTAAACTATGGCCTTGTGATTAGCTAGGATTTCAGGTGTGCACTGTCATGCTTAGCTTACTTGTTGAAGTAGTGTCTCACTTTTCTTTTTGCCTGGGGTGGCCTTGAACAATCATCCTCCTGAGTAACTGGGATTTTATCTGTTCTTTTTAAAAATTGGTTTTTAAAAATTAGTTCCTCCTGGCCTAGCTGCTGGATGTATGGATGAACACTGGGTCAAAACAGCTCCTACATCTCTCTCTAGTCTGCTGTGCCTGAAATTCTACTGGTGACCCTACTACTGGTTATTTCTTGCCTTCTGTCCTTGGCCAGGCATTTAAAATGCAAGTGTCTTGGAATTTATTTGGTCGGTATTTATTGGGTGTTTGCTGTTTGCTGGATGTGGAAGATAAGTAGTGAATAGAATGGACAGAAATCCCTGCCCTGTGGTGTTTCCTGTTTTGTGTAGTAGTGCAGGGAGTAGGTAGGGCCTGCTTGAGGGCCCAGTAAGCTGAATGCTAAAAAGAACTTGGCCTCTGTTAGTTTCCTGACTGCAAGGCACTAAACATTGAAGGGCTGGTCTTAAACTTACTTTACACTTTGCAATGTTACCTTTGACTAATATTCATGAGCTAATGGTTTTAAAATGAATTTCTTATTGATGATTGCAGAGGAAGAATTGAATCTTTTGGTCATCATAGTTGATACCAATCCAATTTGGTGGGGGAAGCAAGCATTAAAGGAATCCCAGGTAAGATGGTGTAAGATGATTTTGTTTAAATTGGAGTATATTTGTATTCATTCTTTTTTTATTTTATTTTATTTTTTTTTTTGGTCCAGTCGTGGGGCCTGAACTCTGGGCCTGGGCACTGTCCCTCAGCTCTTCAGCTCAAGGCTAGTGCTCTACCACTTGAGCGACAGCGCCACTTCCGGCTTTTTTCTTTTTTGCTTATGTGGTGCTGAGGAATCGAACCCAGGGCCTCATGCATGCAAGGCAAGCACTCTACCACTGAGCCACCTTCTCAGCCCTTTGTATTCATTCTTAAAGAGCTTTATTAAGATATAGCTTACCTGCCATAAAATTTACTTAGCATCTCTCTCTCTTTTATTCTCCCTCTCCTCCTCCCCTATTTCACCTGTCCCCTTCCTTCTTTCTTGAGACAGGATCTTACTATGTAGCCCAGGCTGGCATTAAACTCTCCACCCTCCTTGTGCTGGAATTACAGGCATGTCCCAATAGGTTAGGCTTTGGACTATTACTTTTCACTACGTAAAGTTCCCTCATACAGGAGTTTGTTAATTGTTGCCCCCATCCCCTCTCCCTGTTGCCTTTTCTAGATATCATACAGTATCTAGTCTTTAAAAATGGGAAAATTATATTATTTTCTTCTCCAGTTAGCCAGCAAAAAACTGGAAATCAAGGTGTAGCTCAAATGGTAGAGGGAGGGGCTCTGAGTTCAAGCCCCAGTACTGGCACAAAAATGATAAAAAAAAAAATGTTTTTGCTTATAGTTTTGGAGGAATGTTGCTCCTGAGCAGTGTTAGGTTTTTAAAAAGAGGTAGCCGAGTAAGAACTGTACCACGCATGTGGTATTCAGGTAAGGGGTAAGTTTATTCAGTAGACCTGCTGGGACCAGGCAAGGTTGGCACTCCACGCAGCTGGCAAAAGAGACCGTCTGGCCCTGGGTTTGGCCTTATAAAGGGTAGGGGGTGGGAAAGGGTGTGTCCAGGTAAAGGGAAGTGGGATCAGGTGGGAGAAAGGTGTGGCCACCTCAGATTAAGATGTGACCTCTGCGGTTGCGGGTATGACCTCTTCCAGGTGTCCCAGTTGCCTAGGTAATGCAGGTACTGGGCGAGGTCTGTTCTCGCCTTCCAGGAATGGAACTTACAAGCAGATTTCAGTGAAATCTTAAGACTGGGCATGTTATCTGGAGTGCTAATTTGTTTTTCTCGTGTCCTCTCTTTGTTCCCCAGTTCACGTTATCCAAGTGCATAGATGCCGTGATGGTGCTGGGGAACTCCCACTTATTCATGAGCCGCTCCAACAAGCTTGCTGTCATAGCAAGCCATTTCGAGGAAAGGTAGGAATGACCATTGTCTCCTCCCTCCTGGTCAGTGCTTAGTGTTCATAGGGGTTTGTGCCTCTTGTCATTCACTGTACCTAGTCCAGGTGACCAAAGGAATTTTGTCTGTAGCAGTGAAACAGCCAGTGCCTCAGGAAGCAGTACCAGGGCTGGGAAGGTGGCTCCGTGGTAGAGCGCTTGCCTTGCATGCCTGAGGCCCTGGGTTCCATTCCTCAGCACCACATAAGCAAAAAGAAAAAAGCCGGAAGTGGCGCTGTGGCTCAAGTGGTAGAGCACTAGCTTTGAGCTGAAGAGCTGAGGGACAGTGCCCAGGTCCAGAGTTCAGGCCCCATGACCGGCCCCCCCCCCCCAGTAAAAAAAAAAAAAAAAAAAGAATTTGAGGCTAGTTAGTTTGGATAAAGTTATCAAGATCCTGTTTAAAAATATAACCAAAAAGGCAGGGGGCACAACTGAAGAAGTAGAGTACCTAACCATCATGCATAGGCTCTGGGTTTGGTCACTGGTACCACAAGTAAAAAAGGAATGAAGGATGGAGGAAGGAAGAAGGAGGAGGAGGAAAGAATAGAATTATATGAGTGCAAAAACCAGTGGGTTTATTTGGTTTTCTTCTGACTCCAATGTTGTGATCTGTGAGGGCAAGGGCACCCAGCCACTGTACTGAGGGTTTGCTACCGTTGCAGCCGGTTCCTGTATCCTGGGAAGCACGGCAGACTTGGAGACTTCTTTGGAGATGCTGGCAACCCCCTTCCTGACTGCAATCCCTCAGGGAGCAAAGATGGAAAATATGAGCTGTTGACGGCCGCAAATGAAGTGATAGTTGAAGAGATTAAAGATCTGATGACCAAGAGTAACAGTTTTTATTATCATTGTTGCTGTTATTATTGTTGTTGCTGCTGTTGTTTTTTTTTTTTTTCTTTTTTGTCGGTCGTGGGGCTTGAACTCTGGGCACGAGCTCTCAGCTCTTCAGCTCAAGGCGAGCACTCTACCACTTGAACTATGGCACCACTTCCGGTTTTCAGGTGGTTTATTGGAGATAAGAGTTTCATGGACTTTCCTGCTCAGGCTGGCTTTGAACCGAGATCCTCAGATTCTCAGCCTCCTGAGTAGCTAGGATTACAGACGTGAGCCACAGCACCCAGTGGACTGTTGTGGATTTTTTTTTTTGTGGGTCATGGGGCATGAACTCTGGGCCTTGGCGCTGTCCCTCACCTCTTCAGCTGTAGACTAGCGCTCTACCACTTGAGCCTCAGCCCCACTTCTGGCTTTTTCTGCTTATGTGGTGCTGAGGAATCGAACTGAGGGCCTCATGCTTGCAAGG